AATGCATGCTGGGTATAGAGGCCGAAAATGCCAAAGGGAAATCGGCCCACTATCTGAATCTGGCCGCAGGCCTTGATGAAAGAGGCGCAACTGCATTGCCCCGGGGCCCAACTGTATCGGGTTGGCTTCAGCCTCTGGGTCCYGGTCACAGGCKGAAGGGAGGCCGCCCACACGCTGCACTGGCATATAGGCAAGCAGGGCGAGTGGGCAGGGATCTTGGCCAATGCTGGCATTGCGGGCACGCTGCGCGGATGCATGTGTGCTGCGCTGCGCTAAGGTCRWKCAGGCTAGCGCTAGGCGGTAGGGCGCTGCCTGCATGCAGGGCACTGGCGGCCATAGCCGGGCCGCATGAGGGTGCAGTGGAGGTGAAGGGCGAAGGTGGTTCTTCGGAGGTGAAGGGCGCTATGTGGGTAACAGGGAAGAGTGTGGGTGAAGAGGACAAGTACCTGGTGGAGGTGGAGGTCGGCATTGGTGTTGACATCATCACTCGCTGGTAGTCAAGTTGCTTGGTTGCTTTCATTGCTGTAGTTGTAGGCTAGGCTGTAGAGTAGATAGGGCGCCTGGCGCCATTCACAAGAGAGAGCTACATTTGGGTTATGCTGTTGGTGTTGCCCTGTTGGGCATGGACATTGACTCACGATTCTTCTGTATCATTCTCAGTTGGATGGTTACTCGGTTCCATTGTGCTATTTGCTTTGGCTTGGGCTACTTGGACTTCAGTCTGATTTTGCATTCTGGATTTCTGTGCTTCGTCCATATTCATGTTCCTTGCAATTTGGTATCGGAGCTGGTTTGATCGCCACTTACCTTCGGCATGCTCGCGTTATACAGACTAGGTGCGTTGACGATGCTTCTTCGCAGTTGGTACTTGTGACGTCAGGTCATTGATAGGCGCACGCCCTGGGTAGAGAGGGGTGCGCCAGAAGGCTACAGACGGCATTAATAGTCGTGGTGACAGGCGGAATGTTTGATTGATGATGAGACATGTTGATGTGGCATTGGACTAAGGTGGCACTGCATTGCGTTTTGGGTGGTACCGAGGTCACGACCGGTCATCAAATGCAACATCAGCTCAATTGGTGAGAAAATTTGTGGTTGGGGGCAGCTATCTCCAGGTATGTTGATGCCTTACCTTATCTACCTTCTCAATCTCTTCTTACCATGAGGAAGTGAGTCCAACTTAAGAGTCCTCTCCTTGGTGAGGTGACGTGAGCGCGCTACCTTGAGAGACAACAATCTTCCCGGAAGCATCTGGAAGGAGAAAGGGCGGTGCCTCTGAAAGGCCCTGGTCGAAGCACTGGGTCACGGTCACCATGCCAACCCACAGGGAGTAGTGCACGCATGCGATGGCTTCTGTCCTGTTTGGCACTTGCTGCGCTCAGATAGAAGTCTTGCCAAGTGTGCCAGCCTTGTATGAGACGCTTACCAGACCGTCTATAAACATTTCTGGTTGGGTACTCGGAATGATTCTGGCTGTGATCGTCGTCCTGACTGCGACGTTAAAGAATTCCTGAAGAGATGGGGGCGATCTTAATGATCCTACTGATCAGCCAGATCATTCGGGTGTAAGGCTCGTTTCCGTACGAGGGTAAATAAGAGTGGGCTGGCTGGCTTACTTGGCTCTGACTTGGGCACAGGGGTGGGCCGATACACACACGAAGACACTGCTCGCTCAAAGATGTTGTTCGGTATGTTGGATTGAGGGGAAGGGTAGATTCCAATTGGTGCTCAACTGTGTACACAACCATACCCATCAATCATACATCTGCTACATTGTATTTTTGTACCTTTGATTAGTTGGTTGACGGACTGCTAACCTCACAGACAGATTAGTGTAGGACTGTTGCATGCTACCATAGCCAGTTCTAACTAATGCTGCTGTAAGTGAACCAATCAGGGTGCATCCAGACTATGTAGACAATTTTTTGTGAATACTGTAGACATGCCACTTGATTCGGTATAGTAGGGAACTCGCCGAGCACAAGTATTATAGAAAATTACGTGCCGGTCAGATACATGTTGCGGTGGGATTCCATTAGGGGATTCTAGTGTAGACACTATCTGTCTAACCAATGAGTGGGTCAGATTCTGTTGATGACAGAGCTGACGGTAGGAGACTAACACGTGCACATGCACTAAGGATACAGCACGTGTTCCAGGCCTTGGAGCCGGGAGAAGAAAGACGGATACGTAGAGCCCGTGCTCTAGCAGCAGGAATACAGGAAGCAAACAGAGCAGCAAGAGAGCAGGCAACAGCAGCCAGAGCAGCTGCGATGGCTAACGGCGCAAGATCTGCTACGTCATCGTCTGCGTCCTCGTCAAGGACTAATGGGAGCCAGTTGAGAATGCCAACGAGTTCCACAAGTTCCTCGGGCACTTCCGGTTCCACAGGATCTAGACAGTCTTCTAGTCAAATGGCGGGCACGCAGTTCAGCCCGTCGACCCCGCGTGAGAGGGAGCTCAAAGAGATCCAGCAGGTCGAGAGGCTCCATCGTAAGTTAGAGCAGGACCTGAAAGATGCTACCGATAGAGAAAATGCGATGAAAACTAAAGCAGCCAGGGTCGAAACTTTAGAGGTTGATAAAGCTGAATTAGAGGGCTTGGATGAGTCAGCATTGACTGACCCGCTGAAGGTATTGAAGAAGAATATGTTGTCATTGCCCGCACACGTGGACAACAAATTAGACTTCATGCAGAGCACTCTAGACCAGATCCTAGATGCTTTGACAAGGCCAGGCTTCCGGCCACCAACACAATCGCTGTTGCCGTTATCGGCGATGTCAGGCCCCTTTCCAGTTCAAGCTGGTACACGGCCAAGTGGTACGTCTGCAGCAGTCTCACAGACTGTTGCGTCTTCTTCTTCGGGTCCAGCGGTGATTGCTACATCACCACAACAACCTGTTCCTCCACAGGGACAGCAGCAAGGGCATTGGTACCCTAAGACCCCGATGAAACCGCCTCTTCCCTTCTCAGGGGAAAGAAAGGACGAAGAACTCAAAACTTGGTTGAGAACGGTCCCGGTTTGGGTGAAGGCCAAGAGAACCTTGATAGAGGACGAAGTGGTAACTGCGGCATCTTACCTGGAGGGTAAGGCAGCCAAATGGTTAGATGGTGTAGTTATAAAGGCCGGGTATGGGAGACGCATGGCGGACTGGGCTAAGTCTATGACGTTAGACCAGTTTATGGAAATGGTAGAAGCTCGATGGCATAACCCACAGGAGGCACAAAGGGCCACTGATGCCATTAACAAACTAGACCAACGAAAGTTCAAGTCGGTTAGAGAGCTTACGACTACCGTTGAGAGCCTGATCCTCGTCCCAGGTATTAACTACAGCGACCAGTTCCCCTTGACGACGTTTGCAGATGTCTCCCAGAGAACATCAGGAACTTACTAGCCAGTGAGGCACCCACCGAGTACCACTCGTTTAACACATTGTCTAGGAAAGCCTTAGACTTGGAGGCCACGCTAGGCAATGCTCAACCCACCTCAGGGAATGACTCAAAGAAGAAGAAGAGTCCTCAGGAATGGAAGAAGAAGGGGGCTAAGTTGATGATGGTTGAGTCAGATGGGACTCAAACTGAGATCGACGAACTCTCTGACCTGGTGGACTATTCAGAATATGACGGCGAGGAGGTAGCTGAGAGTAGCACCCTTGCCACAGTAGTAAAGGCTAAGGCCGGTGGCCGAGGGAAGGACTACCTAGGGGTCAAGGGAAGGCCGCCTCCAATCAGACCAAGCAGACTGAATGGGTTAAGGCAACTCTTGATCAAGACGTGTGGCGTGACCGACGAACGCGTGGCGCTCATATCAATCGCGGGGAGTACGGACACTCGCAATACAAGTGCCAGAACGCGAAGGTTACGCAGAAGGTAGCTCCAAAGATGGGGGCAACCTACTCCCACGCTTCTAGCTCGGGAAACACGTAAGGCCAGTGGAAGTTTTAGCTGCTTCTACTCCAGATGAAGTGGGATTGATACCCTCCCCACTTCATGAGATGGCCCAAGCTAATGACCCCTTAGTCACCCCGCAGACACACCTATGCTCTGTACGTTAGATGTGTCTGAAGCCTTAGAAGACTTATAGAGTGAGTGGTCAAACAAGGACCCTCGTGAGTCTTGGGTGGCACTAAGGAAAGGTCCTAGAGGGGAACATTTCGTGGTGGAGGTCGATGTAGGAGGCCGCAAATGTGGTGCCTTCATAGACATAGGCTCCACGCGGAATCACATAAGTCGTGACTGTTTGGAAAGGCTGCACCTACAGGACCGGGTACGGCACCTTAGTAGACCTGTAGCATCTACTTTGGCCAACAAGGAGCGCATGATTGTAACAGACTACATCAAGGACGTAGTCTGTACCTTCTCCTATGGAGGAGGTGAGCTTAACCATAAGATCTCGTTCTTGGTTAGCGACGACTTGCCATTTGACATGTTATTAGGCATGTACTACCTCGAAGTTGCTAAGCCCCAGTTCGACTGGGATAAGAAGGTGCTCAAGCATAAGTTGCCCGATGGCYGAACTGTCAGATTGACTAAGTTCAAGGCCAGTAGTAYWATAGATACCTATGGCTGCTTGTGCGCATCAGCGTTCTACAATTACTACAAGCAAAATCAAGAGGAGGGTATGTACCTTGTTTACGTCTCTTAGAAGGGAGAGGCCGTTAAAACACCCCCAAAGATAGAACGTGTCGTTGCTAAGTTCCCTGATCTGTTCGAGGAGCCCACAGGAGTTTTTGAAAGGGAAGTCGTCCACGCTATAAAAATCATTCCAGGGAGTAAAACCCCAAAGGGAAGGATCTATAGGATGGCCCCCGGCAAGTTAGATGAACTTCGGCGACAGCTTAACGAGCTGACAAAGAAGGGTTGGATTCGGCCTAGTACTTCCCCTTACGGATCACCCATTCTATTCGTACCGAAGAAGGGGGGTACTTTGAGGATGTGCATTGACTATARAGGCCTCAATGCCATCACTGTGAARAACGCAGAGCCTCTACCTCGCATRGACGACCTATTGGATAGGGTGCAGGGATGCAAGTACTATAGTAAGATAGACTTGAAATCCGGATATCACCAGATCGCAATAAGACATGAGGACCAACACAAGACAGCTTTTCAAACGCGTTATGGTCTGTATGAGTTTGTAGTGATGCCCTTTGGTCTTTGTAATGCGCCGGGTACGTTCCAGCACGCTATGAATCGGATCTTCCATGACCATTTAGGTAAGTTTGTCGTGGTCTACTTAGACGACATTCTGATCTTTAGTAAGTCTGTCGAGGAGCACGCAAAGCACGTTGAGACAGTTCTCTCACTCCCGCGACAACACAAGTATAAGGTCAACTTAGAGAAGTGTGAGTTCGGTCGCACTAAGATACTATACTTGGGTCATGAAGTATCCGCGGAGGGAATTAGGCCGGAAGATGCGAAGGTGGGTAGTATTCGAGACTGGCCACAAATTCAGACAGTCACGAGGTTAGGTCATTCTTAGGAATGTGCGGCTACTATAGAAACTTCGTTAAGAACTATTCTACAGTCGCCTCTCCTTTGACTGATCTAACTCGACTTGACACACCGTGGGACTGGAGTGATGAGTGCGATAGTGCTTTCAAGAGATTGAAGCATGCACTCATGAATCATGAAGTTCTCATGGTTCTCGATCCGCAGAAGCCATTCATAGTGACCACTGACGCAAGCCAATACGGCATTGGCGCAGTGCTGGCTCAGCAGGATGGGAAAAAGTTGAGACCGATTGAGTACATGAGTAAGAAGATGCCATCAAAGAAGCAGGCTAAGTCCACCTATGAAAGGGAACTCTATGCTCTCTACAAGGCACTTGTCCACTGGAGACACTTCCTTTTGGGAAGATTCTTCTATCTGAGGACTGATCATCAGACCCTCAAATGGATCAAGACTCAACCGGCTCTTTCTGATGCACTCAAGCGATGGATTGAGGTTATAGACCAATATGACTTCAAGCTTGAGTACCTGAAGGGAGAGTACAACAAGGTTGCAGACGCGCTATCCCGAAGAGCAGACTACCTAGGTGCGCTAGTTTATGACTTTGGCGTATCTAATGAAGTAACTCAATCATTGGTGGGAGCCTATCAGGAAGACCCTGTCACGATGGACATCATCCGCAAACTTCAGGCAAAAGACAAGGCCACAGAAAGAGAGTTTGTGATGGTGAACGAGCTAATCTATCTTGATAAGGCCGGAATAAAGAGATTGGTAGTTCCATCTAGTGAACAGTTGCGTAGTTTATTTTTAGGCGAATGTCATGACACAACTGGGCACTTTGGCCGCAAGAAGACGAGTGCTAACTTAATACAGCGATTTTGGTGGCCCAGAATGCTAGATGACGCAAAGAAGTATGTTGAGACCTGTCAAGTCTGTCAGCGGGACAAGCCGCGAACTCAAGCACCGCTTGGGTTGTTGAAGCCTTTACCTATTCCTGATGGTCCAGGATTGAGTGTTTCCATGGATTTCATGGACACCCTAGTGACCAGCAAGAGTGGTAAGAGGCACATATTCGTCATCATTGACCGATTCACCAAGTACGCTAGACTGGTACCAATGCCAGAGACAGCCAGGACAGAATACGTCATCAAGTTGTTCAAGGACAACTGGGTAAGGGACTTTGGTTTANATCAAGTTGTTCAAGGACAACTGGGTAAGGGACTTTGGTTTACCAAAGACCATCATTAGTGACCGAGACGTCCGATTCACAAGTGAGCTGTGGAAGAAGACTGCGGAACAGATGGGCAGTCAACTTCAGATGACTTCAGGGAATCATCCCGAAGCCAACGGACAGGCCGAACAAATGAATAGAGTTGTACAGCACTTGCTGAGGCATTACATCAAGCCTAGCCAGGATGCCTGGGATGAGCAGTTACCTCTCATCGCCAGCCTATACAACAATGATATACATAGCAGTACCGGCGTTAGTCCTAACCAGCTGTACTTAGGATGGAAGCCTAGATCAGCACTAGACTTCGTCCTACCTGAAAATTGACCCCCTGCAACTCCAGGCACACTTGAATACAGTGTGCAATATGAGAAATTGCTGCAAGAGGCTGTTGAACATATGAAGAAGGCTTAGCAAGCCATGATTGCTTCTGAGAATCAACATCGCAGACAGTCCACATTTCAGGTAGGGGAACGTGTCTGGGTCAAGGCTAGCGAGCTAGGACAGGAATTCGGAATCTCTCGCAAACTAATGCCTCAATACTTTGGTCCCTGGGAAGTCCTAGATATAGTGGGAGATGAGAAGGATGGTCCCACTTATGTCATTCGTGTCCCTGGACACCTACGCACTCACCCAGTCTTTCATGCCTCAAAGCTTGCACCTTTCGCTGAGACTGATCAATTCCCTTCCAGGAGATCGATGCTGCCCCCAACCATGGATGGACAAGTCGACATCGATGACATTGTCGATCACCGGGACATGCCTGTTGCAAAGCCGTTGGGTCGAGGAAGACCTCCTAAACCCAAGGGAGAATATCGTGTCAGATTCAGGCATCACACGGACCCCAGCGAAGATCGGTGGTTTACCAGAAGTAACCAATTGAGACAACTCCTCTGGTGGTGGCAGAACATGAAAGGAAGCTGAAAGGGAAGGCACCTGCGAAGCAAGCATCTCAGCGGACTTTCGAAGCTAAGGGGGATGGAATGTGAGGAATGAGCCCTCAAGAAGGGGCCTTGCCATGATGTACACGTTCTGGGCTAAGGCCCCAGCAAGCCTCGTGCCCGCCCGGGCCAGCAAATCAACAAGAGCCCTCTGTGCCAACATTTCACGAAGTGGGGTCCATACAGTTGCAGCACACCAGTTGGTTGGAGTGCACCGAGTCTCGGATTTCAGCAAATGCTGAAAGCCCAGGGCCTCTGAGTTAGTTAGGCCCTAGGCAGTCGAAAGTGAGGCCGACAATGGATGCTGGGTATAGAGGCCGAAAATGCCAAAGGGAAATCGGCCCACTATCTGAATCTGGTCGCAGACCTTGATGAAAGAGGCGCAACTGCATTGCACCGGGGCCCAACTGTATCGGGTTGGCTTCAGCCTCTGGGTCCCGGTCACAGGCTGAAGGGAGGCCGCCCACACGCTGCACTGGCATGTAGGCAAGCAGGGCGAGTGGGCAGGAATCTTGGCCAATGCTGGCATTGCGGGCACGCTGCGCGGATGCATGTGTGCTGCACTATGCAGAGCTGCGCTGCGCTAAGGTCAAGCAGGATAGCGCTAAGGTCATGCAGGGCACTGGCGGCCATAGCCGGGCCGCATGAGGGTGCAGTGGAGGTGAAGGGCGAAGGTGGTTCTTCGGAGGTCAAGGGCGCTGTGTGGGTAACAGGGAAGAGTGTGGGTGAAGAGGACACGTACCTGGTGGAGGTGGAGGTCGGCATTGGTGTTGACATCATCACTCGCTGGTAGTCAAGTTGTCTGGTTGCTTTCATTGTTGTAGTTGTAGGCTAGGTTGTAGAGTAGATAGGGCGCCTGGCACCATTCACAAGGGAGAGCTACATTTGGGTTACGCTATTGGTGTTGCCCTGTTGGGCATGGACATTGACTCACGTTCTTCTGTATCATTCTCAATTGGATGGTTACTCGGTTCCATTGTGCTATCTGCTTTGGCTTGGGCTACTTGGACTTCAGTGTGATTTTGCATTATGGATTTCTGTGCTTCGTCCATATTCATGTTCCTTGCATTAGGGTCGGGAGGAAAGTATTGTTGGGTTGGTTCCCTACCTGCGTTTTCCCTCCCCACCCACCCGTTGCATGCATTTCCGAGTTGGTACAGTGCCACGTCAGCAACAGTGCCATCGTCAACAGTGCCACGTCAGCAACAGTGCCAAGTCAACAGTGCCACGTCAGCAGTGCCACGTCAGCAGCAGTGCCACATCAGCAGTGCCACGTCAGCAACAGTGCCACGTCACAGTCCACGTCAGCAGTGCCCCGCCACCATGATGGGCGCAGCTCTGGGCATGCCAGGCCAACTGGCCAACGACTTTATTGCCGACTACAAACAGTGGTTCCAGACTCAGCTCGCACTGATCGAAGCTGAGGAACAGCGCCAGCTGGTAGCCGAGGCTGCCCGCCTACAGGCTGAAGCAGCGGCAACAGCTGAGAAGCAGCAGCTTCAGGCCGAAGCTGATGCAGATACCCAGGCACGCCGAAAGGAAGCCCAGGATCTTCTGCAGCGGCATGAAGCCGCCAGCATCGAAAGACTCAAGCTTTGGCATTTTGAACCATCTGAAGGGCATGACGACGCGACATCGGAAGAGCAGCACAAGGAATTCATGGCCAAGCTCATAACCAGGTTGGTTTACACTTGTAACCACCTGCAGTCTGAGTTGGCGAACCTCCAGCGGGCCGTAAGGAACCACAAGGCTCAGCACGAGGATGCAGCACGGGCACTAGATTCCCGTGTACAGGACTTGGAGCAAGTAGCACCAAGACCGGAGGCTGGCGAGTCCAGCAGTGCACCCTCTGCCCGCCAACTGGAGCAACGCGTCGACCACGTTGTCGCAATGCTCGTCGACATCAGCACCTTCGCTGCGCCAACCACCATCAGCAAACAGCTGGATACATTGAAAACCGAGGTTCAGCAACTGCAGCTGCCTAACAAGGATGGCAACAGCACAACGCATTATAAGATGCCGACATTCCAAATTAAGAAGTTCGATGACTACACGCATCAAGACCCGGTCCTCTGGTGGGAAGGCTTTACGACGCAACTACGGATTCTGTTCGTCGCCAAGCACACGTACATCGGCGCCCTGTTTCTCAACTCAAAGGGCGGATGCTAGACCCGGTTAAGCCACCTGGCATCCACCCACGGCGTCGACGTCGCAGATCTGAAAGACAAGATCTCATGGGAAGAGTTAACACGGCTATGGAAGAAGCGGTTCATCGTGGACGACGCACCTGCACTCGCCATCAACCGTCTCTTTGGCATGACACAAGGCAACACAACAACACGTGACTGGCTCACGGAATGGCAGAAGATCGCGGCAACGCCTGGTCTCGACTTGCCATTTTCGCATCTGCGCCGCGAGTTCTACAACAGGTCATGTGCTGCATTGAGCCTTGCACTTGGTGATCGCGAGCAATATGCAACCTTCGCTGAAATCATTGACAAGGCGAGGGAGATCATCAAGACCAACAGGGCGGCTGCACACGAGAAGTCAACGTGGCAGCCAACCTATGTGGAGACGGTGAAAACTGGTCCGCGACCGCAGCAGTTCGCTGCAGTCCAATCGGACAACATTGTGGAAGACCCGGCAGCCACCCAAGCGTCACGTGAGGGAGATCAGGTGGCTGCTGTCCAGCCGCGAAGCAACAACAAATCCCGAGGAAACGGGAAGGTGAAAACCGCATCGCCGACCGGAAACGGACAGCCAGCAGCATGGGTCAAGTTTCACTTGACCGAGGCGGAATACAAGTGGCACGGCCGCTACGGCTGCTGCTATTGGTGCAACAGCACCAAGCACAGACCTCCCAATGCCCGAATCAAGGCAAGGAGGATGTTCGGCCTCGTATCAACTCGGGAAACTGAGTCGCTCAGGAGGTGAGGCGACTCCATCTCTCACTCCGCCAGATTCGGCCGCCTTGCTAGCGGCCTCCTACACATCTGGGGAGGATGCGCATGTCGTGAGTTCTCAGTATGCTTACGAGGACTATGCTGTCCACTTGGTCCCACCGCTGGACCAACCACTCCACGTGCAACAATCTACCGCATGCACGGCTTCAACACCATCGGCAACCAATTCGGCAGCTTCGCCGCCATCTACCGCCGGGGATTCAACATCATGGTCAAGACTTGAAGAGCTCGACCCGTTGACATTTGCGGATTTCCAATGGATGCCCCTTCCCCGGTCCGGTCGATTGCCGAAACCGCATTGCAACGTGCTCATGGCACAATCGCGAGATTACTTGCACACTGCAGTACCAACTCCGTTGATGGACGCCGGAGTAGAGGTTGTCGACCTTCACGCCTACATTGCGAAGATCGACCGCGAGTTCAAGACGCAACGCTACGACGACATCGACGCACCATTGTTATATGTACGCATTTAGATCGGAGAGGCGACCTGCAGCACTTTGATCGATTGCGGAGCATCTCGCAATTACATGAGCCAGGACTTTATGGTGCGCGTCGCCCTTGGCCCACGCGTCCGGAGGAAGTCCCTGTCGACACAAGTCACGTTGGCAGACGGTCACACGCACAAGTCAATTGACCGGTGCATTGATGACGTCCCCGTGTACTTTGCCCCGCATGCAAGCGAGGCGGTGTCCTTCGATATCTTGGACACCAAATTCGACATGATCTTGGGCATCTCATGGCTGCGAAGCGAGGATCACCCGGTGAACTTCTACCGCCGCACCGTTCATGTTTGTGATCGGAACGGAGTACTAGTCCCATGCACCCTTCGATCAGTTGCCACGTGGTGTCCGCCGCAAGCATGCGAGCTTCCATCATCAGAGACGACATCGAGGAGATGGGGGTATGTTTTCTCCACGCCCTCCCGCCCCATGACGCTTCATCAACGGACTCATCTTCGGACCCACACATCACCGAGCTTCTCGATGCCTACAACGACGTGTTCGAAGGCCCGCACGGAGTAGTACCGGATCGGCCCATCCGCCACGAGATCATCCTCGAGGACGGGGCCGTACCTCCGTGCGGTTGCATCTACCGAATGAGCAAGGACGAGTTAAGTGTGCTACGGGCACAACTCGACGACCTTCTGGAGAAAGGCTGGATTCGGCCTAGCTCATCGCCATACGGTGCTCCTGTTCTCTTCGTCCGGAAGAAGAACAAGGATTTGCGGTTGTGCGTCGATTATCGCAAGCTCAACGCGCAAACGATCAGAAACGCCGGCCCTCTCCCACGCATCGACGACCTTCTCGAACGACTGGGCGGCGCCAAGTTCTTCTCCAAGTTGGACCTCAAGTCGGGATATCACCAACTCGAGATTCAGGAGGAGGACCGCTACAAGACCGCGTTTAAGACGCGATATGGGCATTTTGAATGGCTGGTTATGCCATTTGGCCTTACGAATGCCCCGGCCACTTTCCAAGCGGCTATGACAACGGAGTTCCGACACATGCTGGATCGATTCGTACTTATCTACCTCGACGACATCCTGGTGTACAGCCGGCGGAGTTTGCCGACGAAGCAAGCCCCGCAATCGCAACCCCTACGGCGAGTTGCGCCCGATGCCTATCCCACGGGAACCCGGCCTCTCCATTTCCATGGATGTCGCCGGACCATTTCCTCGCGTGACTCGGGCACGACGGCATCCTCACTGTTGTGGACCGTTTGAGTAAGTATGCGCGTTTTCTCCCTTGCAAGTACTACTCCACGGCTCCCGAGCTGGCACGCCTCTTGCAAACCGTTTGGATTTGTGGCCACGGTGTACCGGAAGACATAGTCAGCGACCGCGACACTCGCTTCGTGTCGGCATTTTGGACTGCTCTCATGCAGAAGTCCGACACGAAGATGAAACCAAGTTCGGTTCGGCATCCACAGACGGACGGGCAAACAGAGCGGGCACATCAAACCGCTTAAATGATGCTTTGTACGCTCATCCGTCCGGACCAGAAAGATTGGGTTGACCGCCTCCCCGACATCGAGTTCGCCTACAACACTTCGGTGCACCAGGCGATCGGCGTGACTCCATTCGAGTTACACCACGGTGGACGGAAAGGCCGTATCTTCGCCGACCTTCTCCTCCCACGACCAGCCGACATCGACGCCGCTTGCTCTCTCGCTTTCGTCCGGAAGTACAGGGAATTGTTGGCTCAAGCCCGCGCAAACATGCAAAAGGCTCAAGTCCGCATGCAGCAGCAAGCCAACAGGCGTCGCGTGCCATGTCCCATCCGCGCCAGTGATCTGGTTTGGGTCTCCGCGGAAGAGTTTGCACTGGAACAGGATGTTTCACGCAAACTGCTTCCCAAGTGGTTTGGACCATGGCCCGTAACATCAGCCGCGGGCGATGAGCCCGATGACCCTTCATTTGTGATCAATATCCGGACGCATCTGACGGTCCATCCAGTCTTCCACGCCTCGAGGCTGGCAACATATACACCAGCTAAGAGCGACGACTTCCCAGGCCGACGATCGCAGGACCCTCCATCTATGGATGGTCATCAGGAGGTTGACCGCGTCATCACGGATCGCAAGTACGGCAACAAGCCTCGACAGTACAAAGTTACATTCAGAGCATGCGATCCCGACGACACTCGGTGGATTTCAGGAACAAATTTGAAAGCATCCGCACCGCTGATCTACGCTCACTACGAGCGACAAAGGTTAGCTCAGGGACCTTCACGACCTGCCCCTCCCACCCGNATTTGAAAGCATCCGCACCGCTGATCTACGCTCACTACGAGCGACAAAGGTTAGCTCAGGGACCTTCACGACCTGCCCCTCCCACCCGAACTGTGGTCCCTCCCTCAGACAGACAGCTTCGCCCTCGCAGGTAAGCTCGGTCTTTCAAGGAGGGGGGTGTGTGGCATACTGCGTAGCCACACGGGCCTGCAGGGCCCGTCCCGCATTCTCAGCCTAAAAGCCTAGAAAATAGGGCTTACAGGCCCCATGTCGTTTCAGCCTGAAACTGAAAACGAGGGCCTGCAGGCCTTATTTCGTTTTCAGCCTATAACAGGGCTTTCAGCCCTGAGGATTTTCAGCCTGAAACGGAGGGCCACTTTCGGACCCTCATAAGATCGACCTACCCTAAGACTCAGGCACAAAACCAGGGTTTCGGGGACAGGCTATCTTTAGCCTGTTCCCACGACAGCCTCAAGCAGGAGCTGCAGCGGCAGCTCCTGACTCCCTGCGGCATTGGCAAGAGCAGCCTCCTGGACTGCCTTGCCCTGCAGTCAGGAGGCAGGCCGAGTAGTATATAGGAAGTTCCCATGCACTACACGGGTGGGTAGTTGGACAGTAGGCACGAGTAGTTTTCAGGATTCAGCCGCAGCACTCAGGAGAAGCTCTGCAGGGAGTAGCTTAGCGCTAGCAGAAGTCTTCAGCGTTGGGCGCTAGTAGCCATAGCAGTAGTCTTCAGCGCTGGGCGCTAGTAGGTGGTAGTAGTAGAGTTGGGAGAGATGACTGGCCTTACCTGTGGCGCCATCGCTCCAGCTCCATCTGCGAGGTACCTGCATCAAGGCGCCAACTTCACAGGTTAGTACCGGACTGAGAGAGAGAGAAAGCGAGTTCTTCTTCTTCCTCTTCTAAGTCCACCATCTCTTCTTCCCCTCTCGCCACCTCCTTCTCAGTATCAGCGGACTACTACAGAGAGAGAGAGTTGTGACTTGAGACTGACGACATTGGATCCAGACACGACATTGGGATTCAAACATTTGACGAGGGACTATTTGGGCCTGTGCCGAAGACTTGGTGTTGATGACATTCCCATCTTCCCCTCTTCTTCGTCTAACCCCCCTCTTCTTCGTCTGTGTATGGTTCGGGGCTGGCGCCTTCTTCCTGTGTGAGCGCCAGACCCCTTCACACCATGGAGATGATGATGATGATGTATGTTCTGGGCTGCATTGCAATATTGATTGTTCGGATCATTGGTATCTAAGTCTTCCGCTACGCTATCTTGTACTTTGTATTGAAAGGTCGGTTCTTGTTCTGGTCTGCACCGTTACAGTATGCAACACTGCGCTTACAGGGGCAAGTGCAGCGCCTGAGTCGACCTGTGCCAACAAACAGCGCATGGTAGTCACCGGGTACCTCAAAGACATTGAGTGTCGATTCCCGTACGCGGGAGGGGAACTGAGACATTGAGTCTCGTTCCTAGTCAGCAATGATCTCCCCATGGATATCTTGTTGGGTATGTACTATCTTTCGGTTGCACAACCCCAGTTTACCCGGAGGGGGGACCGCCAGATTACGAAAGTACAAAGTTAGTAGTTTGATCGAGCTCTACGGATACATGTGTGCGACCGCGTTTTATAATTATTATAAGCAAAATCCGGAGGAGGGTATGTACTTAGTTTATGTCTCTGTAGAGGGCGAGCCACTGAAAATGCCTCCAGAGATAGAGGGAGTGGTCGCTAGGTACCCTGATCTATTTGAAGAGTTGAAAGGGGTTGCTGAGAGGGAGGTCGTCCACACGATAGAGATGATCCCATGGTCTAGTATTCTGAAGGGTGGGATCTATCGGATGTCTCCAGTTGAGCTCGATGAGCTTCGTCAACAACTCAAGGAACTCATAGAGAAAGGTTGGATCCGGCCGAGTGTTTCCCCTTACGGATCTCCTGTCTTATTTGTACCGAAGAAGGGGGGGACCTTGAGGATGTGCATTGACTATAGGGGCCTCAGTGCCATCACTGTGAAGAACGCAGAGCCCCTACCGCGCATGGACGAGTCCAAGGGTGTCGGGACTTCAGTAAGATAGATTTGAAGTCCAGGTACCATCATATTGCGATACGGCCCGAGGATCAACACAAAACCGCTTTTCAGACTAGGTACGGTCTTTACGAGTTTGTGGTGATGCCTTTCGGCCTTTGCAATGCTCCTGGCACCTTTCAACGCGCCATGAACCGGATCTTTCATGACTACTTGGACAATTTTGTCACCGCTTACCTCGATGACATACTTATCTTTAATAGGACTGTCGAGGAGCATGTTGGCCATTTAGACAAAGTTCTTAGCCTCCTTCGACAACACCTGTTCAAGATCAGTCGGTAGAAGTGCGAGTTTGGCTGCACCCGGATCTTGTACCTGGGTCATGAGATTTCCGCGGAGGGATTGAAGCCCGATGACGCGAAGGTGGCCAACATTCGTGACTGGCCGCGTCCTCAGTCTGTGACTGAGATGAGGTCCTTCTTAGGGATGACCGACTACTACCATAACTTTGTAAAGAACTATAGCATAGTGGCCGCCCCTTTGACGGACCTGGCATGCCTTGACACCCCGTGGGAGGGGACAGACAGATGTGAGGCTGCTTTCAGACATTTGAAGCACTCCTTAAACCACAAATACCTCCTAAAAGTGCTCCGCGTTAACGGGCGTGGCTTTTGGGATGAACGGGCCTGGGCCGGTAGGCCCGATTCAGCCAAGTGGAAACGGCGCGATTTCCACTTTTGGCTGGCTGTTAACGCGGAACACTTTTAGGAGGTGCTGGTGGTTTAACACACCATGAGGTCTTGAAACTTCCTGATCCTGACAAGCCATTCATAGTAACCACGGATGCCAGCCAATATGACATTGGTGCTGTGCTTGCGCAGCAGGAGGGGCCAAAGTTGAGGCCAGTCGAGTACATGTCCAAAAAGATGTGCTCAGAAGTTGACTAACTCCACCTACGAGAAGGAGCTCTATGCGATCTACAAGGCGCTGACCCACTGGAGACCTCCTTGGGAGGTTCTTCTACGTCAGGACTGATCATCGGACCCTGAAGTGGATGAGAACCCAGCCAGTGCTCTCCGATGCGCTGGAACGTTGGATCGAAATCATTGAGCAGTATGACTTCAAACCCCGGTACATCAAAGGGGAGTATAACAAAGTTGCTGATGTGTTGTCGCGTAGGCTGGACTTCCTAGATGCGCTGATCATTGAGTTCGGGCCTGCGGACGATGTTACTCGATCCCTGGTGGAAGCCTATCGCGAGGATCCGTTTATGTCAAAGATCATACGCAGACTCGAAGCGAAGGACAAAGTTACTTCTAACGAGTTTGTAATGGTCAATGGCCTGCTGTTCCTTGAGAAGGCCGGGTATAAACGTTTGTGTGTACCTAATCAGGAGTCTTTGCGCAATTTATTTTTAGGAGAGTGTCATGACGCCACCAGATATTTTGGCTATAAGAAGATGTTCTGGTGGCCCACAACGATGAGAGACGCCAAGCTGTACGTGGAGACTTGTCAGGTATGTCAGAGGGACAAGCCACGTACACAGGCCCCTCTTGGGCTTCTCAAGCCCCTTCCGATACCGGAAAGGCCCGGTGAGAGCCTGTCCATGGCCTTCATGGACACGCTGGTTACCAGCAAGAGCGCTATGAGATACATCTATGTCATCGTGGATAGGTCTAGTAAGTATGCTAGGTTGATAGCAATGCCCGAAACAGCTAAAACTGAGTACGTGATTAAGCTGTTTAAGGAAAACTGGGTCAGAGATTTTGGACTGCCAAAGTCTATAGTTAGTGACCGGGATGTGCGATTTACCAGTGAATCGGCAGCTGCAGAGCAAGGGACACAGCTGCAGATGACTTCTGGGAACCACCCAGAGGCAAACGGGCATGCAGAGCAGCTGAACCGTGCTATACAACACCTGCTGAGGCATCACATCAAGCCTAACCAGGTGGACTGGGATGAGAAACTTGCTCTCATCGCCAGCCTGTACAACAACGTTGTGCACAAGCGCAACAGGGGTAAGCCCTAACAGTCTGCTACTGACCTTCAAGCCTAGACTGCCCCTAGACTTCCTACTACCTGAGAGCCAGCCGATTGCTGCACCTGGCACTTCAGAATTTGCCTATCGATATGAACGCCTGATGCAGCAAGCTGTAGAACAGATGCATAAAGCGCAGGCGGCAATGATAGAGTCTGTGAACAAGCATCACCGCCCATCTATGTTCCAGGTAGGGGATAGAGTTTGGGTTAAAGGCTCTGAACTGGGCCAAGAGCATGGGGTCTCCCGCAAGCTCATGCCGCAGTACTTCTGCGCATCATATGTAATTTGGATCCCTCGTAACCTTCGCACCTACCCTGTTTTTCATGCCTCTAAGCTTGCACCTTTCGAGGAAACTGATCAGTTTCCCTCTTGTCGCTCAATGCTGCCTCCAACCATGGACGGAGAGGTCGACATCGACGACACCGTGGACCACAGAGAAATGCCAGTTCTAAGACCAACCGCAGGGGACCTCCTCCTAAGCCGAAGCTGCAATATCGCGTTCGGTTCAGACATCACACTGATCCTAAGGAGGACATGGTTTACTAGGGAGGAACTGATGCAGACCGCTCCACAGGCTGTCACTCACTATGAGAAGTCACTGCAGAAAGGAAAGCCAGATTGAGTAATTGAACTTCTCAGAGGACTGTCGAAGTATGGAGGAGGGAATGCGAGGCTCAATGCCTCGACGAGCCCTACTGGCCCTGTCTACAGCAATATCTGTCGCCCTAAGTGAAGGCAGGCCCGACCAAGGACGAGAGGCCTATTTTGGGCTTACCACGCAACTGGGAATTCAGGAAGTTGCGCAGCGCCAGTTGGTTGAAAGAACCCAGGCCCTGCCTGCCTTTCTCAAATGTATCTGAGGCAGGCCCTGGGCTAGACACGGGCCATGGATTGCGCACAGGCCGCGGGCAGTTGGACGCGGGTAACCACCCCAGGCCCTGTGTCTGATTCCCCTGGACCGGGGCTCAGCCACTTGGGGCCTACCGGAAGCTTTGGGCGAGGGGCCCAGCACAGCCAGGCAGCACGCAGCAGGCAGGCCATTTACATATAGGAAAGTGCCTGCCCCCACATTGGGCATTCGGGCACTTGCTACATGCTGCGCAAGCGCTGCTGCGCTACTGGCAGGCAAGCGCCCACGCGCTCACGGGCGAGCAGGGTATACACAGGCAGCCACTGCCGAGCTGGCCTGCGAGCTGCTGGATGGAGCGCATGGTGGTCCTTGGGTACACGTGGCATCTGTGTGGGGGATCGAGGTTGTGAGTGATACGAGAGACATACCTGGTGCTTGAGGTGAACGGCATTGTCCGAGATCTGCTCGTACTTCGCGGAGCTGTTGACGTTACCAGCGGCATTGTAGATAGGCTAGATAGGATCTGCCATTTTGTAGTCTGGGCGCAGAGCGCCAGATAGGAAATCGACATTGGTTCTTTGTTGATGATGACGAGACTATTCCAACATTGTCACTTGTGAACTTTTGCTGTGCTCTTATTTGGTGGAACTCAAGTTGCAATTCTGCTTTTGGTTCAAGGTCACGACTATCTGGTTTCATGTGTATGATGCTGCTTGGTTTCTGGAATTCGCTATCGCTCATTTTCCTTGCATCTGGTTATATCAATAATTATTAATTATATATCGTCAAATATCCATGGTAACCCCGGACTTCCGGACTGTCTTCCGGACCAGTGTCTGGACCGGTCCGGACTGTCCGGTGATCCAGACATCCCCGGACACCGGACATCACCGGACACCGGGCAGTCCAGACCGGTCCCCGGGGTGCAAAAATGTTGCATACTTCGATGAGTATGGGCAGAACCAAAGATCAACCAATATAGGATGAGCATGTATGCAGCGGAAGTCTGATAAACGAACTGACTCACATAGACTGACTCACATAGCATCACTCCTCACACACAATCATGAGATGGTGGGGTCTGGGTTGTTACATGCTGCACATGCACACACGGGCCATTTTGCAGGCCCGACGTCGTTCAGGCCAAAAACCTGAATTTCAGGCTTTAAGCCTGATATCCAAGGCTTACAGGCCCCGCCGACGGTTCAGCCTGACAGCCCGAGAAAGGACCTACAGGCTCCAGCCTGTTTCCCTACAGGGAAACTTCCAGGCTCTTGCCTGGAAGCTTCCTTCTGACAGGGCCTACAGGCCCCAGCCTATTTCCCTACAGGGAAACTTCCAGGCTCTTGCCTGGAAGCTTCCTTCTGACAGGGCCTACAGGCCCCAGCCTGTTTCCCTACAGGGAAACTTCCAGGCTCTTGCCTGGAAGCTTCCTTGACATGGCCTACAGGCCCCAGCCTGTTTCCCTACAGGGAAACTTCCAGGCTCTTGCCTGGAAGCGTCCGCAGGGTCTAGGCCAGGGAGGGATTGGCA